GTATTATAATAATTATCGTCGCCATAATCATGAAGCAGAATGCTACTCTTAAAAAATAGAAAAAGTATAAGGACAATATTTGAAATTTTTTCATGTTTCGCGCAAATTCCATGTGTTTATGCTAGGTTGTGATTTACTGTTTCACCATCATGTAATGCGATCGCCTCGAACTTCCTGTCCTGTAATTCCTCGACCCGGCCCAAAGGAGAAGTGTGAACATTCGTAAGGCGGCCCTGGGCTGACTTAAAAAATAACTGTGAATGGGAAAATTTGTTTGAGTCGGCTCTGAGTCGGCCGTATTTAAGGCGTCCCTGGGCCGGCCTAATAAGTGTGATTGGGCTCTATTACCCTCCGTAATCAGTAGGTGTGCTGTCATTTGGTGCCATTTTTACCAGGCCTTTTTTCAGGGCCCATTTTTTCCAGACCATTTCTACCTACTTTCCAGTACAATAATAATAATAATTTTCTATTTTGAAAAGTGTGTAAAATAAGAACAAATTAAGAACATTTTGAGCGTACAATCGGCCAAAACATAAGAACACTAAGTCTGGGCAAAATTTTACTGGTTCTTATAAAAAAAAAAAAAAAAAAATAGTACTGTATGTTGGCATCGCATAATATCATGATCATTAAATTTAACATTAAAATCCCTGGGGGAGCTCTCCATAATGTTATAGCTAGTTAATAGGTGACAGTGTTTTTTAAAGCGAGGGTTAGCGCTAACCGTTACCACCTTGTGAGAACGGCCGATCGGTTAGCGCTAACCATTAGCGGTATCTGGATACCGCTAACGGTTAGCAAGCGCTATCGGTTAGCTATCATCAACCAATCACACGTATGCATTTACAATTTCCAGTTTCTTATTGGCCAGTGATTCGATCATCATATTCTTGGTATCCGGATCAGGATTTTCTCATATGGACGCACAGCAGCTACAGTAACAGTTAGCAGGATCTGGATCCTGCTAACTGTTAGCTGCCGTGTGAGAACATAGCCATTGTGTATAAATTTCCAAGAAAGTTCCTGGAATTTCTTGGCAGATGGCCAAACACTCAACCAAATTTTTCGGCACTACTGAATACAGGTATCAAAACTACTTTGTATTATGTAGGGTCCTAAATAAAAATTAGAAGACCTATCCATCAACAGATGCTGTATGTTCTGCACAGAACCAAACCATTGTTTATGTCATCTCTTTGGCTGAAAGCATTCCGATCCTTGTATTTTATCTAAAACAATTTAAAGTTTGAACATGGTACAATACTTTGGTAGATTTTATACAATACACAAGTAACTGAATTGGTTTCTACTGTATTATCATGTCCACGATGATACATATTTAGATGGATTTGCTATTCATTAAGACTTCAACTTTGTTACGAATGTCATGAGGTTAAGAAGACAAGCACTAATAGTAGGAATGATGTAAATTCTGGTATCATTTACTATTACTCACTTTTATCATATTTTGTCTCTTTTTGTATGATTTCATTAAAAGCACTACTTATTTTATTTAACCAATGATTTGGCCCTCTAGAGTCCTAGACTTGTCATCTGGGAAATTAAATTTGGTGGTTTATTTTTCACCTTTGGCTGTTCATTCATTTTTCATACCTGGAATTCTCTTCAGTACTGTAGATTCCAATTGAAATTACCATAGATAATAATGATAATCAAATCAAGTTTGCTGTGTAACGTAAACACATATAAGCAAACCAGGTAATTACAATAACAGTACTCGAAGAGGAACAAGTTGCAATAATCGTATCAAGCATAGCTCATCAACGAAAAGACCTTTTTTGAGTTGTATGAAAAAAGAGTGTCTCTGGTGGGATTCAATCCTGCAACCTTTCGCTGTCAAGGCGAGTACCATACCCATTAGTCCATGGGGACCTACTGTATAAGGTATGCATAATCCTGATGGAAAAGTAAGTAGTTAACTAGTTCTAGCAGTTTTGGTTATAGATGTACTGGTGAAATTGCAAAAGAAATGTTTGTTTTACTCAAATGAGTCTTACAATGTCCATCAACAAATTAATGACCCATTTCACCATCAACATATGCCATGCGCCATACCCACCTGTTACTCCCAGGCTCTGGAGTAATCAAGTTTTTTGATAGGTTGAGCAACTAATTTTTCTAAGAGACAAATCATGGGAACAGTTTAATGAGATTTTTAGATATTAAAAAGCTGGGAAAAAAGGTAGAAAAGGATGGCTGATTTAAAGAAAAAACACATATTTAGTAATTTTTTTTACCTTAAAACAGATAATGTAACTCTAGATGTGATGTAATGTAGTACAATTTATATAGCGCTTTATACTGGCTTCTTAAAGCGCTAAAGTTGTGGACTAGCTCATGCGGTGACTTTCTTCTCCCCTATTAGGGTCTCTGTCTGAGTTGCCCGGTAAACTGGTACCAATTACTCGAGTCTGTCCACAAACGGGCTGTATGGACCAGTACACCGGGGTAACCCCTAATTGTCTCGAAAGATGCTGGGTTTTTATTTTAAGTGCACTGTACACTGGGCCTACAGTTATAGTCCTTATCCGAAAAGACTTGTTCCACCACCAGAACCATAGGCGAGCTTGCTGTTCGCACCAGCGTCGCTATGCTGTAGGTAGTGGCGCCCTTGCACTAGCAGCTCGGCCATCCAACCGTATTGTTACGTGAAAAATAGCAAAATAAAAAAAATAAATCTAAAAAAAAATTAATTGTTTATTTTGAAAAAACCAACTTTGTGTATTTGTGTATTTAATTAAACAGCAAAAAAAATTTTAAAAATATTAAAATTGACATTTTTTTTATCATTATCCGTTATAAAAAAAATCATAGTAAACATTTTCTAAATTCATGCACTTTTTCATATATTTTATGTTACTTCAAATGCGATCAAGTTAATTTCCAAATTTTTTTAGCAGGCTATACATATTTAAATGTATATTAATATAGATAGCTTTACGCATTAAATTTATCTGTTACCATCATGCAATGAACAAATATATTTAAACATATTTAGTAAATTGTTGAAACCTTACACTCCCATTTACACAAAAAAAAATCATCCAATCATATTACCCGGTATGTTATTTCGTGCTGTCTCCATAGTTTCCTTATTCACTTTGTAACCACCCCGCTGTGAGGTCAGAATAAATATAAGTCTCTGTGCTTTTGATGGAGTACCTCGTATTTGTAAACAATCGCTTGAAATTCTATTACAAAGATTTTCATTACATAGTTGCAGCGTCATTGTTTGAGAAACCTTTAGCCAAGAGAAGGGCCACAATATATTTAAAATTTTTGGTGATTTAATTTCTCGGGGGGTTTTTTTCATGAGAAGTAAAGAGAACTTTAAAATCATGAAACATGTATTGCCAGTTTTTTTTTTTGTTTTTTTTTAATAATTACTAATAACAATTTATACATTTCTATTAATGCACAAGTGTGCAGTATATTATTACACCTGGTTGATTAATATGAAAAAACTAGGTTTTGTAATTGCAGTCATATTCAGTGTGATAGCATGCCCCCCCCCCCCAACCAGGCACACATTGAACTATATGGTGGAGTGAGACAGTGCAGATAAAGTGCCTTGCCCTAGGGAACAAACAAACTAGCCTCAGACCCGAACCCCAACCTTTTTGTTGGAAACCAAAACCCTTGCCACTGCGTCACAACGTCTTTTGTCTCTCAATTTAGCTACTGAATGTGAAATAACTTATGCTAAACCAAATGAAAAACAAAAAATCAGCAGTGAAACATAACCAACACCATCATCACTCAAGTCTGCTAAAAAGGTTTTGTTTGTGTTTGTATTATGTCACATTCATTAAATGCATGCCACCATATGAAAAGCATTTGTTGCTGGATGTAATTTTAATGCTGTCATTACCTTTGACACAGATATGTATAATTATCAGTGATGTTATGATTATAAATAGTGTGAGTGATGTAATGGCTATTATTATCATATTACCCTAGTAAAGTAATTCAATATCCACTTGTACAGTTTTCTGTAAGTCTATTAGCTTACAGATATTACCAGTATGGGCTTACTGTTAAGCAACTAAATAATTTCTTAATAAAATTCCACATAAATTTACATATACGCAAAAAATATAGTATAAAATTGTGATTGTTGACATATTCCAGTGGGAAACAAAATACTTACTTCACATTTAAAATTCATCATTAATTATCTACCATTATTTTGTATGTTTTCCCATTAGTACATTCGAACAATGAAAATAAATTAAGGTGTTCAGTTCATCTAAATTAAAGGAAAAAACTTCCCCATCATCTGACTTTTCAGTTAAGATTTGAAGCTGTTGAGGCCATCCCTGTTTGATTGTTGTGTTGTGTGTATTGTGTTTCTCCATTTGGCAGAAGTTGCTTTGACTTGGAGCAATAATTACACAAGCGGGCATAGGAAAGATTGTTATTACAAATTCACACAAATACACAATCAAAGTACTGGACCATTGTGCCATGTAGAATGAATACAAACATAAATTCTAAAGAAAAAAAAACCAAAGTATAACATAACCTGAGGCCAGGCTTTTCTAGTACTTTAGAGTGCACAATTACCACTGACTCCAAGCTTTTTCTTACTAAAGTGTTTCCTTTTTACTGTTTCGTAGTTTACTTATTGAGGTTCAGCCATTCTTAACTTTGAAAGTAATTTGTAATTTTTTACCTTTGAAGTGGTAAAGGTAAACCATTGAGGCGCTACACTATCCACTGTAGTATCCCTATTATAATGATAAATATTTGAAGCCAGTTTAGGTGCAGTGCAATATATTTATGTGGACCAAACATGCAATATATTAAGAAAAAATTAACCAACTCTTTTTTGCTGATTAATAAGTCTATAATATGTGGATGCAAGCTACATTCATTTATAGCTTTAAAATGTTGATATTTTTGCCTTTTAAGTTAATAACTATAGTTTGTAGAATGTGGCGAGAGTATTGTAACTGAACGTTTCATCTAATCTACAGGTTGATAGTTCGAAGAAGCTCGATTTGCTCACCTCTGATGGAGACAACCAACCAGAAGCAACTATTGATGGGATAGAGGAAGGGAGTAAATCCTTAAAGAGGTATCACTGCCGTAATCATACTACAGTAGTCAATGATTATATGTTTTGTTTCCATCAGTATATATAAATTGGTTTTGTTCATATACATAGGCCTAATTTCTGTTATATATTATCATAGTCTTCACATCATGATATATCTTTTATCAACTTTGTTGCATAAAATACAGTTTACTGCTGACTAGCTGTGTAGTGGTTTGCACTGCTGTATGTTTCAGCCCCACAGTAGGGAAGGGTATTTAATGGCTTATAAATATAAATGAAAAATACATTTTAAAATATGTTATTTGTTGTGGCTGTGCTAATCTTTGAAGTTTAAACACATTCTTGTATGTTTAAATGTTTAAAGTGGGAAAGAGGGGCACGGTTCAATCATCTTGGGATGTTTTCAATTTTTGTTAGATGTCGGGGCAGGGGCAGAGCTGCCAAAAATTCCCAGGAAGGCTTTAGGTTCTTTTCCTCTTAAAGCTTTGTCCCTGTAGCTATTTAGAAGCAAAAATTCTTTGTTTTGTTTTTCTCAAAAACTGAAAGAATTGAGATTGGTGGAATTCCTTGTCATCATCCCCTCCCCTCATCACACCACCACATGTACTAATAAATTCAATGCCGCTATTCCTTACTATGTACCCACTTATACTCCTGGGTAAAGGGAGACAAACCTACTGATGTATCATGCCTGAAAACACAGATTGTTTAAATGGTGTAAATATTACTCATTTTATCCTCTCTTTACAGAGCAATGGAACATCTGTCGAGGTTGAAGTATCTGGTACGGTCCGATAGTGAGCAAAATATGTCTGACAACACACAGCGGGGAATGATAGAATAATAAATCCAGAATGATAAACCAAAGTTTTATTCCTAATATTGCAAGAAAATAATAATTATAATTATTATTATTTAATAATATATAATAATATATAATTAATAGTAATTTTCAAATAATTAATAGTCAGTATTTGAGATATCATAAACAATTTGCCAAGTGCTTCCAATTTGTAAAGATTTTATTTTTCAAAAAATTGGTGCATGAAACTTAACCACTATTCAATCCATTGGTGGAATAACAAGACAATCTCCATTTGTGAATGATGAACAAAACTTTTATGCAAAAGTTACATAGAAATCGTCCCTTTTTTTTTTTATATTTGAAGATGAATTTATATGCCTTACTTCTAGTCTTGCAGGGCTCTGGTGGTTAGAATTAAGAATTACGTAAATGTATAAATCCAGGTGTATTTATGTGGATCAAATTCAACACAAGTATTGTATTGTACTATTCTGAATTTTATCTATTTCTATTTGGTTGAAAATTCGCAAAAATAAATTAATGCAATTTCTAAATAAATACAATATTTTTATTTTTATTTCTCGACTTTTATTTTGTAAATTACATAAATATGCCTATTTCATTTATTTGGAGGTGGTTTAATTGGAGGCGTTTTTAAGACTTGTAACATGCACCACCATGCCTTTATAAGGCAAATTACTAATAAGTGTCAAAAAGTATTATACCTCCATGGTCCAATCATTTTAAGAATGAGATGTTATCTTGAAATAAAATCAACTGGTTTCTTATTAAGTATTGAGTTGTGTGTGTTAAACCAGGGAACAGTGAAATTTCACTATTCCCTGGTTAAACCATGAAACCAACAATTTATATTTTTGGAAATATAGTCGTAAGCGTTTCTAGAGGTAAGTGGTGTACCTGGTTACAACCTCTTAACAAGAAAAAGTTTACATCTACTCTTAACTGAAAAAAAAAACCAAAAAAAAAACCCCACTATTTCACTCAGTGTACTCATGGGAGAGGGAAATGTGGAGAGGTGTCTTTTCCAGGGACACAAAACAACATCAACACGATCATTTCCAATATTGTCAAACGATGTTTAAATTGGTCAAATGCAGGGGAGAAAAAGCAGAAACAGTTACTGTAGGCATAAGATCCAACTTCCAACCCACACACACTTTGGTTCACTTGAAGTAAACTTGTCTTTACTTTTGAAAATAATGGTGGTACGTGGATGAACTTAGCTGCTGGCTGAAATCAACATACATATTGTCCTATTTGCCGATGCAAATTGTGTATGAAATAGTCGATAAGCAAGCAATAAGAACAATTAAATTATAAGACTTACTTAGTTTGTGTTCCTACCTATTGTGACAAACGTCAATCACTTTGAGGGTCAACACTAATGTAACACTTCCTAAATGTCTCAGAGGAGTAAACGTTATACTTACGGCTGTCAAACATTTCTTTTAATATACAGCTCCCACGTGTTCTTGTTGAATTAATATTGTATATGAAACTGCATTCATGTTTTGAAATGTTTATAGCCCTTGTATTTTACACACTGTAGTATTATTTAATTCAATGAAACCTTGGGTCCAGTGGTGGGGCCAAAGAGGGGGAGGAGAGCAGGTGGATTTTTTCCTCCGTCGGACAGGCCTGTATCCCGCTGTCGTCCGATGCACACCTAGATCGTCCGATCAAAAATAAAATAAATAATAATTTGCCTATCCAAATAACGTTATTTTGACTGCCAATTTATAATATTAAAATAATAAATCAATACTGTACTCATTCTTATAAAGCGCAAGTAAGCAAGCCCTCAATGCGCTAATATTATGGTCTAAAAGCACATTTGGACCATAGTAAGCCATAAAAAAAACTTCCCCCTTGAACCTTACACAGGAGTTTTTATTACGGGGCGTCGACCGAGGCTTCGTTGGCCCTTTGGCTCGGACCCCTCCGTCAGACATTTTGGACCTCTTTTCTCCATATTTTTGGCTCCACTGCTGAGTAGGTCTACACATACGACTGAGACGCACCCCCGGACACACGCTTTGGGACGTCCTAGGAATATGAGGAGGTTGCTCAAACAAAATTATCAAAGATTTAATGTGGCAGGCCCTACCCCATTTTTAAAAATTATTTTAGTGTTGAAATTAAGATTTTAGTTATAACTTGTCCTTGTATCTAGGCCTATGCTGCTTTATCTTGTATAATTATTCATGTGTCTGATTTTTGAGTTTTTCTTCCTGATGTTTTTGTGATTTTTTATTTTTCGATAAATATTGTAATAACCAATCTTTCTTTTTTTTTTTTTATTGCAAAAAAGATTATTTGAATTTTGGCCCAATTCTGGTCGGCAATATTGTGAGCTGGAGGTACGGTATACGATGATCAAAGTAACTGTTCTCCGGCTAATAATTAGGACTAACATAGGAGGACAAATCATGACAACACTTAACACGAATATACAGAAAAAGAAAATACAATCTAATGAATTAGGTCGGCCTGTGAGGAGGACTAATAGGCCTATATTTATATTTTAGGTTGGAAAACAATGACAATGAAAACCCACGTGATGGGCAGGTGATTCTTACGTCATTGCTAGATTATCGATTTTTAGTAATTCGATAGCAAATAAGCCATCCTTTCTATTGTACGGCAACTGTTGATATAATTCTGTACTTATTGGGTTTGTCATGATTGATCTATACGTTAGCACGCATGATAGTACTGATGAGCAGCGAACTGTTTCATTGGCATGACAGTAACCATGCGAAAGTTCAATTCGTGATGACTTTCTGATGTTTTTGTTATGATCCTCACGCATTGTCCTATTCATCATCATCGTCTCACCATCATCTTCTTCATCCTCATCATCATTATATCGTCATCACCAAGAACCTATTATATTTGTTGTTTATATCAAAATCATTCTATATAGCAATAAAAAGAAATATTTTCATAGTAATATAGGCCTAATTAACATGATTAATCAATGAGAAAAAATAAATATTTGTTGTTAACAGGATTCGAACCTAATCCGTCTGATCTTCTTGTTCCTTTGAATAGAGTGTGTGGCTAAGTTGGTGGTATACCACACTTCTTTTAATTTTCCCTAAGGACATGTTTTTCATAAGATATTGCATAATAGTACTTACCGTAAATAATATTCTAACTTACTGTATATTAACTCAATTAGCACTAAAGATGATAAAATACGGTACCGGTACATTTTTTAAAAACAACCTGATAAATTATAGTATTTTAATTGATTAATTATAAATATTGATAATTATAAATATTATTTACTGAAATGCGCTATTAATTTGTCACACATTTCCACATCCATGGGCTCATTTAAAAATGAGGGCGCAACCACTCCTTTTCGGCACCCCCCCCCCCAATTTTAAAATATTCAAAAATCTATCTCATCAACAGTTCCCGAGTTTTCTTCAAAACACCCCTTTTGTGTCTTTATAGAAAAATCAGAAAAATAGAAAAAAAAAAATACTCTTTGTGATATGTTGTAGGCCTACAACTGATTTTTTCAAAGACACAAAAAAGGTGTGTGACGAAAAACTTTGGAACGGTTTAAAATGAGATAAAGGTTTTAATTTTTCGTTCTTAATAATTGTACAACATATCAAAAATGTTTTTTTTCCGAAGCCTGGCTTTAACTTATTTTTTACTTTGTTTTATGTTAAGAATGTGAAAATAGGTTAGTCCAATCCAAAGATGTTATATACATTGAATATATGAAGAAAAAAAAAAAAATAAAATAAATCATTCCAATTGGTTTTGCACGGTTCTAATCCTAATTCAGTTCAAGAGGAAGTATTCCCTTAATTTACGATGACCATTCGGTCAATGTCATTCACCGACAATCATCCATATATCACAATTGACCACCGTTACTATCATCATAACTCGTCGGTTGACGAACGCTCTTGTTAAAAGATGCCTGCATGTGTTGTTTTGAGCGCTATCAGTTTAGCCTCGTTTTCAATTTTCCGAGAGGTTGACGATGACAAACTGCTTCGATCGCTTGTCCTTCATCTCCTATATCAAGTTCACATTCCTTGAAAGTTGGAAAAATCCGTAATCCATGTACTATGTAGAAGACCAGGCGTCTGAAATGTGCCAAATGGTCAAATTGAGTAAATTCCATGTTCCTTGATCTTTAAGTCGGTAAGGCCTATCTTCAGAATCATTTCATACAAAAACGTCATTATAACATTATCGAACTTTTTGAACGTTGTAGTTTGGATATGTCATAATACACTTTTTAATACCGTTCATACCGCAGTATAGTAATATACAGCTGTACAATAATAATTTTCTATATTTGAAAGGTATGTAAAGATTAGAACAAAATAAGAACATTTTGAGTCTGAAATCGACAAAAAGATAAGAACACTGAGCCTGGGCAAAATTTTACTGGTTCTTATAAAAAGAAAAAAAAAATGTAGCATTAACACTACAACATTTACAACGCTATTTAGTTGAGAATTAAATTATAAATACGTATTGTACACCAAATTTCAACCTTATCAGTGGCGGATAAATGGATTCGAAATGGGGGCCCAGGGAGGGACGTTCAAATGCGGAAGGCCTGGACCACCTCAGTCCTGCCATGGTTGGGGCTGAAGTAAAACAATTATGGCACATCTAGGTGGCTGGAAAAACTACTCTCAGACCTAAATTTAATTACAATTTTCCAATAATTCCATTAAAAAAAATAATATCGGTAAATTTAGGGGCCTCGTGCCGACTCGGTCTTATAACGCTACCGATTATTTTTTGTTTAAATAACTTGTTGCATACTGTGACAACCAGTAACTTTACGGACCGCCTGGAGATGTTTACGTATTCAAGTGGCATGGAAAAGGGAAGTAGGATCGAAAGTAAAAGCATTGATGTGCCATACCTGTACATGATGAGGTACACCCGGACTGGCACTAATTTAGCTTTTTATGCTTAT